ATTAAAATTAATTTTTTTCTAATTTTTTTCCTTTTCCTGTGGAGATTTCGGGTCACCCCTACACTTTGTCCATGTCACCCTTGGATTACATGTCACCCCGGCTGAGAACCACTGGTTTATACAATAATGAACATTTTGAGCAGACTATGTGACATACACAATCATACACTGTATCCATTATAGATTTCTACTAATACTTATATGATTTAAATAAAATTATGAATAATATAAAATTATATCTTCGTCTTTATTTCGTCGCTTCTTGTGTCTCCACTTATAAAATCTCCACGTTATTTTCCATACTGTGTGCGTGTGTGTTTGTATGTATGTGTGTGTGAACGTGAACACCTGTATCAAGGTCAACGAAATTGTAACTATGATATACTGCAGTAGGCACAACATGAAAAGCAATAATTTTTCAATGTTCTCTGCAAGACATTGTGTAGAACGAAATATGATGTATAATAATTTTACCATAACAATTTTAGACCTGCGTGATTTGGAAAAAATAGCTACAATGACACAATGTCCAACACTCCTATCGTACAAGGCATATAATAATGACCCCTGAACCATGTTCAACGTATTGTTATAGCAAAATCAAATATTATTTCAAATAATACTCGTACGAATGGAATTGTTATTATGCTAAATTATAATAGTGAATTCTTATGGATTGTAAGAACATTATTCTGTATATGATCTAGTACAAAACCAAAAAAAAAAAAAACAGCTATGGAATAAATAAATAATTTCAAAACTAAAATAGCTAAATATTTTTCAAACGTGCTTTAGTTATTGAATATCACAATTCGTCTGTAAACTATATTAAAATAGCAGAAGAGCTCGAAGGAATGTATTAATTATATATAAAATATTTTACTGTACAGATATCTATACAAGTTCCAGATATCACAATGATGGAACTATTTTCAACCGAAAATACTATGTAAATAACAAAAATTAACGATAGTTAGACTTCTGTCTGACTCTTAGTCAATATTTTTCAAATACTATTAATATGCTCGGGTAAATAATAAATATTATTAGTCTGCTAGATAAACCATTGCTACCATTGGTCGGTAAACTATAACTTCTCACTTGATCCGGTTATGTTATTCAAGCATGAGACAAGTCGTTTCGAATTGAGATAGTTAGTAGTGTTAGTTTTAAAAAATATGAAATCAGTGCAAATAATCCACCTGACAAGAGATTTGATGCGAGATACGTGATATTTGCATTGCGAGCATTTTGATTTTTTATCGTTCATGCCTACACCGTGAACGGACAGTGGTAATTATTTCGGACATAAGCGAAAAAAAACATACGTTACCGGTGTATCGCGATTTCCACCGCGGTCACAGTAATTGTCAAACCGGATAAGTAGCGGGTGCAATTATCAACTCGCGATAACGAATAAATAATGGATATTATTACGACGGCACGCCCCAATTCCATTATGACTTTGATACCATACGAAACCCGAGCAGTAACCATATGCTCGTATGAGCATAACTATAATTAGATGGATGAAAAAAAAACAACTGATCGGTTTATAAAATATTACATATTATTATGACGGTGGTGCGTAACGCGTCTGCAACAGCACGAAGGAAAGGGTCTCGTGTGCGTATACATAGTGATCGCATTGCCTTGCACCACCGTAGATGTGTACAGATTATAATGTGTATCGCAATACCGGATTGTGAAGTTATTGGCGTAGGTTCACTCTAACGCTTCCATTGTACGTGGTGTATACGAAGTGATTATGTTAACGCAAGACTCACTTATGATGTATGCGCACGAATATCGGCACGTTAAATAAATCATCCTGTACACAATATACAACACGTTACGTACTCGTTAAGCTACGGCAACGGTTATTATTATTTTTTTCCAACGCTCGTACGAAATCTTTTCAGTCGTTTAGGTAGGATTTTTTTCATTTTTTTTTTTTTAACCCTTGTCAACCCTGCCTACAGGATATTTTTAGAATATTTTACACGTCATGACATCGCATTATACCGCATGCATGCTAGTTGCGATAGTCCTTATAATTAATGCACCGGAACAATAATTATGTATAGATAATACATAAGATGAAATGTCATACAGGCAATCACACCGATATGACCAAATATATTTTCAAACGCAACCGCAGTGCATCAAAATATGCTTTTGAACTCTCGTGTGTAAGTTCTAGTACTATCACGACCGCCTTTCGGATACCGGCCCGAGGTTTGAAATTTTGGTTTCCACGTTCCCTCCCCGCGCGACGCTCTAATGTAGTATCCGGAACAGCAAAAAGAGCTGTTCCCGTGAAATCTATCGACGAATTCCACGTATCTACCGGTTCAACAATTTAAGATCTTGAAATCCGATGCCGTTAAAACGTAGTTGCGCTCCCTGATGACCAATCCGATCAGCTACTGCGTCTTTGGATCTGAAATAACGTGCGAATTTTTCCGCGCTGACAGGAGTGTTGAAAAAAATATTTCGAAAAAACCAAATCGACAGTACAGTACTGCGGCGTGGACGAAACAATCGTGGTATATTACAGCAGATACAGCAGAACGACTCTTCGGGAGCGCAAAAGAGGTATAATAACAATAACGGAGGCGGTGCATAGGAAAAGGCTAAACGGCGACCGTCCGTGGCGGATTTCTCTACGCGGAAATTGGTCAAAAGTTTTCGTACACGACTGTCACTGAATCGGCAATGAATGACACGGTTCTGAACGCGCATTGTAGAGCGTTTCGTGTTCGAAACATTTTATTACTAGTTTCGCACCCGCGTCCCAGGACGATCCTTTTGACGAAGATCACCATAATCAGTCGTTATATAAATAGCGTGCACCGAACGAACGACACAAAAAGGAAAACATCGATAATATTTCGACGGAAATTTTTTTTTTTAAAAAACAACGCAGATACTTTCTATATGAAATGGAAATCAGAAATCGATGACGCTTAACGATATGTGTTAAAACAACTATCGGAATTCTAACAAAACATAACGTTCTGGATTTATAAATATTTAATAGTTACGTGTATGAATACGTGTACACGTTTAGTAAAACGTTTGAAATACTTCATAAGAAGAGAATATTATCTAAACACACGTACAGCATGTACCGCAGGAATAACGTATTGTACAGTTGACGGTATATATGATGTAATGATGTGTGTGTGTGTGTGTGTGTTCGTGAGAGAGAGAGAGAAAGAGAGAATTTATATGGTACACGGTAAATGCAGTCACGTAAAAAGTTGAAAAACAAAAACCGTTTTACGTGAATTAAACGGTTTTTCTTTCGTGGGACAATATAACGTTTATATATATATATTTATATAGGTGCTCCTTAGTACGCAGTTCGAAATTCGAATATCGTCTCTGTCGTCAACGCCTTTGCGTATATTAATAATAATACAATAAATGTACAAGGTGCTGCATATACTTGTATATATATATATATATATATATATATATCAAATAACATACTGTAAAATTTTGAAACATTGCTTATAGTACAGACGCTGCTGTTGCTGCTTGCTGCTATATTTTCACATTCGACCAATTCGTTTTTACGTGGCCGGAATAGCTACAATTCAAAGTTTTTTCCTTGCAAGTCTTTTGGGAGATGACAAGCGTTACACGTATATGTAATATGCCATATATAATACATAATGCGTACACGCGACAGACGACAGACCCGTTAGACTCTCCGAAATTTATATCACATAATATATTTTTTTTTTCCGTTTACATATTTACAGTAATATTTTCTTATTATTGAAACGAATCAATATTGAAGATTTCATTAATGATTTTACTGTTACCTATGATGTTGCAATAAAAAATAATAAATATTTTCTCGATTCTGCTACTGTGACGATAAGTTTACAGATTAAATTTAGAACTTGAAAACGTTAAACTTTGCAAAATGTTTTATAAGAATCACGAAACATGTGCATTTAAACCTATCATCAAAGAAAACATAATTGATGAATGAGTTTGAAATCAAAACAATGCACACATAAATTTACAAATGCGAACAGTTGATACATAAATTATAAAAAAAAACTTTGTTGCTCTATTTTTATGTTACGTTATACGATTTAACCCCATTTTGTATTTTGATAAATAGATAATAAGTATAAAAAAAATGACCGACCCCAAATAATTGTGAGAAAGGCGGAGGAGAAGAAGAAAAAAAAGATATTACAAGTACAAAATAAAATAACGATGAAATATTCGTTTTATATAATGACATAACAATATTGAAAACAATTTGACTAATTTGCAACATCGATAACAACGTTTTATAAAATTTAATTTACCATCAAAACATTTAGTCATTCAATGCTCCTAAAACGAAAGCGGTTGAAGTTATTGTATCCGAGCGAATACATAGTATAACACGTTTTACTAAAAATATTATTTGAAATCAACGCAATGAAAGTATAGATTATTACTTAAGTATAAGTGCAGCTCATCTAGAAAGTAGCTGATCAATAACAATAATATAGTATCCACATGATGTATGAGCGTTATTGTTTAATTATTGAACGTTACACACTGGAATATCAAACGAAGATCTCGTCAGAAATTCGACAAGGAAACAAATTAAACAAAATAAAAATGTGTATAAACCGACGATGTATAAAAATGTCTGGTAAGATAAAAAAAACTAAACAAAATATATGAAAAACATAAATGCACTGTATTTCTACGTACTTCTAACGCAGACCGCGAAAGTGTTTAAAACCCGGAAGTGCAGACGCAGTGTCACACATTGAAACAAGTGACTCATCGGTCGGATTATAATATTGTAATTTAATTTTAATGAATTCCGTTCCCTATAGCATCAGAAAACGGAAAAATCGTCGCGTGGTTCATGTTAGGTAACAAAAACGTGTTATTTACGTCGTAGACGCGTTACAATTACTATTAGGTTAGGTAACTAACTTAACCTATAACGTCTCCTGACGGCTGTCGTTTCGTCGCACTATTGTTTTTTTCAACATTATTTTATGGTATACATGTGTGGTGTTGTTTTATCAACGCGATATCAATCGAACCGTCCATTGTTTTATTATTACTTTTTCTCCCGGCATGCGCACGTTTGAACGATTATGTGCTACGTTATAAAAACGTACAGCGAACCTGCCGCCGTCGGCGTCATAATATGTAATATATATTATTATCCAATCGAACGTCTATTTAACAAACTTAACGGTTTTTTAAAAAGTATTTTTATCAAGGACGTAGCCAAGAGGAGAAGGTGGAGCAAATGCCTCATTCTGTATGTATAAATAAACAACTTTATTAATATAAATATAAATATAGCGGACTGCTCACCCTGTAAGTTGTCTTGCGATACAGTTTGCCGTTCAATACAGATGTACATAGCTTATAGGGTTTAAAATATATATGGATATGAATAAAATAAAATAAAGATAATAATTAAATTAATAGAAGATAAAAGTAAAAAAAAAAATATTACAATATTAATAATTGTTGGTTAAGAATATAAATGATAATTTATTATATGCAGTGTAGTCCTACCATACGGACAGACGTATTTTTACGAGATCGTTTTCGCTCCAGGCCGTAGTTCTTGAAGAAGTCCTGCAGGAGTTTCGATGCGATTCCGCGTGCGCCGAACCAAAGCCCAAATACTTCCCACTCTCCTACTTCGTAGAGGTGGCTTAGGTTGGGTGTGGATAGCTAAAATATATATTAATTATTTAACAACATTTTAAATTGACTTATTTATGACCTAATATTTCAACTTCTTATACATTTTCAAATTTATATAATATACACTTTTTAATTGTATTCTAAGTATTCAAATGATTATTTCCTACCTAATGATAGAGTTTTTAATTTTTTTTTTACAGACAATTTTTTGTATTCAAATTTTACATTAATATTTTTTATGTATCAACATTTTTTTTTCTATTACCTCGTAAAATATACTTAAGGATCATAATACGAGATAAAAAATCTGACCTGTGTAAATATTAAAAAATATACTTAACATGTTTTGATAATTATTCACCCCCCTAATAAAATTTCTAGCTACGCCCTTGATTTTCATTTGATTTTTTTTTTGTTTTTTATTAAAAGATAATAATCATATATACTTTTTTAAGCATAATAAGTAAATTTAATTATTTATAAGTGGAAAAATAATAATAAAATTGCAAGAAAATAATAATTTTTTGGTAGCATCCCCTAAAATATATAAAGTTTGGTTGGCAATTTTTTTTATTTTATTTGAGACATCTCTTAATCAATTACTTTTAAGCATTTTAATAGTATTTTCTGGAATGGCTAACAAAGAAATAGGATTTTTGTGGCTATTTTAAAAGTTAGACATTTTTCTGAAAATAAATATATACGATTTTTACCATACTAAATGTATGCAAATAATAGATAGTGTAGTAAAATAACGATAATGTTAGATTACAGGTATATTTTGATGTGTATACTTATATAAATCATTTTTATCCTTTTTTTTTTCGAAGAAATGTTTATATCCTGTTGAACTATATATGTATATACCATTCTACTTGTAAAAACGTTCACAATTATTTAAAAAATTAAAGATGTCATCTGGTGCATTTTCAGTGTATTGAAATACACGACGACGAACAGTATCGAAATAGCAGCTGATGTTTTCGAAACTATATTTTGACATACTTTTGAAATTGGAATTGATGAATTTTGGAATTGATTTTAAAAAAAATATCGTGGTTCTATAAAGGAAAAAAGAAAAAAACGCGTTGAGAGAGAGTTTCGTTGGATAGAATTTCGCGAAAATCGAGTTTCGGCTGTGTGCAAACACTAACAACGAGGCGACGATTATTACCGATAAATAATTAATCAGTTATAATAATGGCGACAAACGATAAATGTTGTGTACGTGTATTATTTTAACGCACATCTGTATTCGTAGAAAGTGTACACAACGATCGTGTTACGACCGCGCTCGACGACCGATCCATTGTACTACGCGAAACAATAACGCGCACGTGTTTTACACGGCACCGACGGATTATTATTATGACGCCCGTACCGCGTTCGACTGTCCGCCGTTAATAAATATATGGTATATGCACGCGATCTCGTGTTTTACGCGATACGTTTACATCAATGAATTATTATAAACATATAAAATATAATTTATACGGTAACGGATCGGTTTTGTGCGGTGCGCGTGTACGGATTAACCGCGCGAAACGCGTTAAACTACACACCTAGCCGATCGTAAATAGCGGCGCTTTTCGCGACGGTCGTAGAAAAATGGCGACGCGCAGATCAACGGGTGCGCTTTCGCAGCCCAGAGACGAATTGTGTAGCTGGTACGCACGTGCAGTTCTAACAATTTTCGCGCGCGAAGACGGTTTATATCAGGGGTGGTCAACCCAAATGATCTTGCGGGCCACTTTGGAAATACATTACGATCCCGCGGGCCAAATATAAAATTATATTAGTGTTTTGCCCCAATAAAAAAAAATTTGGAGTAAACATTTTAAACAGAATTAATTATTATTACAAAATAAGTTTTCGCGTATTAATTATTTGAAATAAACAGAATGAATTATTATTGCTTTTATTGCCGTATTCTGAATCCAATTCTTTCAAGACTCTCCTTAAATCGTCGGTGCGGAAGCGCATGTGATCGAATGCAATTCACTGTTTTTATGACTACTTGCATAACATGGTTCATCGACAATACTTGGGAACAAAGATTCTGTTGGTGAATCTCAAACAGTTTGTTGCAATTAAGTTGTTAATAATACGGATTCCGCGTTGTGCAGGCATTCTAGAATATTATATTGGGACAAAAATTAATTTTTTAATGTAATTGTTTGATAAATCTCGCGAGCCGCAAACTTTCCAAGGAGGGCCGCGGGTTGATAATCCCTGGTATATATTTATAAAAACGTACCTACATATATGGAATATTTATATTTAAATTATTGTAATTGGATCGTTTGAAATAAATAAATATCGTATCTGCGAGCTCGTAAAGGGCGAAACAACGTCGCGTGAAATATATCACGTCGGTGCAATCTTCTAAATGAAACTTTGGGCGCAACGGATTTCTTCGTCCACCCGCGGGGTAGGTAGTAGAGTATAAACACTGCTCGTTATGAATATTTACGGCCGCGGAATGGCACGTGTCACGCGCGCGCAAAATGTTTTGCCAAAAAAAGTCCCGCGAGCACGTGAACACGTATTGCGCGCAATCGCCAAAATAAACAGAAAAAAAACAACGAAACGTCGGTTGAACATCGCACGTAAAACGTGCACGCGCAATACGGGACGATCCGTCGAATCCGTGTGGATCGAAGAACGCGCGTAATATTTACAGTGCTTATACGATTTTCGGTCCGAGTCCGTGAAACCAGAAGTGCACCGGTGGAAGGAAGGGGTGTCGTACTCGTAAAGTTCACCCGCTCGCGTTCTCATACGAACGGATAAACATTATGATTAGAGCGCGGATTGTATGCATTTAAAAGTATCGAAATATGCCTTATAATATGCAGTAAAAATCATGAAAATATGCAAAAAATATGCAAGAATTGTGTATTTATTTAAAATTTATAATTCAACTTATAAAAATTAATTACTTAAATACTTAATACAAAAAAATTTAGGAAATTTTCTGAACTTAATTTATTTTTAAAATTTTATTTATTATTAAAATAAATAATCATATGCATTTCAAGTTTATCTTCTGTGAAGCTGTGTTGTTTATCGGTTAACATATTTTTAAAGACTGAAAACGAATCCTCGATGTCAACCGAAGTTATTGGGGCATATTTGAAGCAAGTGGTATGTCGATAATCAACTGACACAGCAAGAGCGATTAGGTTTACGTCGTAACCGATTATTTATTTTATAACTAAATATATACGTATATATGTATATATAAATTATTATTTAGTGACTATGAAATTTATTTTTAATTTTTCTACTAGATAAAATATTATTTTAAATTTTCACTTCAATATGCAATAAATTTTGAATTTTGCCAAAATATGCAAAAATATGCAATAACCTCTAAATATGCAGAAATATGCGAAAAAAAAAATTCACCATTAGCTTCAAATTATGATGATTCGTGGAGATAACTGACAAAAATCCAAAAATATTGAAAGGAAAAAAATATGCGATTACATAGAAATCTGCGCTCTAATTATGATCAACCCGTCTCTGAACGAGTATAACGAGACGGCGCATTACACAACGTTGTGCATGCTCGGCGCGCAAACGTATGACGTGTCAGTGCCGAGGACTTGTATAACTTTACGACCGAATCCGATTCCGGGTGCGCGCGTGTGCGTTTGATTTTTCTTTCTCCGAGTTCCCGTAACGCGGTTCCGATCGATTTATTCATTAATATTGTACACATTGACGCACTTTTTTTACTCGACAATCTATATATTACTATCAATTTATAAATCGTTTTTAGTAACGGTTGCATCCGATCGACTTATTTACGGAACCGCGTTAACTAGTTGGAATTATTGGGTGGATGGGGACCAAAATAAAAGTAATCAATATCCGCCGATAAAAAAATGAAATTTGCACTGCGTTCGCGTACAATACATAATTACGTAATATTAATGATGTATGCTGATTGTTACGACTGAAAATCGACCGTTGATTATCGATCAAATTGAGCCCGCCCACCTGCCAAATCGAGGGAGGCGATCAAGGTCATATCTGGGTAGGTCCAGGGTGTCTGGACCCCCCCCCCCCCCGAATTGTCTTCAATATTTTAGGAATGTTTAAAATACTTATTTATTTTTAATACCAACATAAATATTTTCAGTCAAAAATGACTTAAGCTTCAATTAATCGTTGACTGCTTTTAATTTTATATCATAATATTATACGAAAATATATTAATTTTAACAAAAGAAGATTTAATATTTTTTTATCTTATTTTTAACTAAATATCAAAAGTTAAAATCTAAATTCAATAAAATTACAATATACATGTTTTGGACCACTCCAAAAAAAAATTTCTAGATATGGCCTTGGAGGCGATTGACCCCTAGATTTGTGGTTCCGCTTAACCATACGCACCACATTACATCAACGACATGATTTAATAACATTAGAAACTTGCAACGCATATTCTATAAAATAACTGTGGACGGAACGTAAGTAGAAGTATTTTTAAACTTAATTTCCCATGGAAGCTCTAAATATAGTAGGTATTTGATTTTAGTATACACACGTAACTCATACGCTGAATAGTTATTACTTTATTCTTGGAAC